TGTATTCTTCACATTATTTGGCTATTTTGCAGGAGTATATCATTTGTAAACAGATATATTTACTATGAATAGGCTAATTAAACACACACACTGTGATGGTAGTAAAAATACTACTCCTGAAAATCTACTTCTGTTTTAGAAATCATTACAATTTTGAGGATGATTTAAAGTAATACTTTTTATTTATTTTTATTTTTAATATTTATTTACTATAAGTTATTGTCAAATTGGCTTACATACATACCCAGTGCTCATCCCAACAAGTGCCCTCCTCAATGGCCATCATCCACTTTCCCCTTTCCCCCCGCCCCAATCAACCCCCAGTTTGTTCCCTGTATTTAAGAGTCTCTTATGGTTTACCTCCCTCCCTCTCTATTTGCAACTATTTTTCCCCTTCCCTTCCCCCATGGTCTTCTGTTAAGTTTCTCAAGACCCACATGTGAGTGAAAACATTTAATATCTGTCTTTCTCAGACTGACTTATTTCACTTAGCATCATACCCTTCAGTCCCATCCATGTTGCTGCAAATGGCATGATTTCATTCTTTCTCATTGCCAAGTAGTATTCCATTGTGTGTAGAAACCACATCTTCTTTATTCATTCATCAGTTGATGGATATTTAGGCTCTTTTCATAATTTGGCAATTGTTGAAAGTGCTGCTATAAGCATTGGGGTACTTGTGCCCCTATGCATCAGTATTCCTGTATCCCTTGGGTATTTTTGAGAGAGAGAGCATGAGCAGGGGAGGGGCAGAGACAGAGGGAGACACAGAATCTGAAGTAGGCTCCAGGCTCTGAGCTGTCAGCACAGAGCCCAATGCAGGGCTTGAATCCACAAACTGTGAGATGATGACCTGAGTGGAAGTCGAAGCTTAACTGACTGAGCCACCCAGGCGCCCCTAAAGCCATTTTGAAAAAGTGTTTGGAATCATCTGCTAAAGTTGAGCATAAATAGCCAATTGCCTATCCACTTCCCTCCTAATTATACAGTCAACAGGCATGTATACACATGCCCAATAAAGCAGAATAATCATAGAAGTGTTGATAATATAGCTATTGTAGTATCTTTTTTAATGTTTATTTATTTTTGAAAGAGAAAGAGCACAAGCAGGGAAGAGGCAGAGAGAGAGGGAGGGAGACACTGAATACCAAAGCAGGCTCCAGGCTCCAAGCTATCATCACAGAGCCTGTCACGGGGCTCAAACCCATAAACCATGAGATTGTTACCTGCGCTGAAGTCAGATGGTTACCCGACTGAGCCACCCAGGTGCCCCTAGCTAGTATAATGACTTAAGTGCTCATCCATACTAGAACAGTGTGATATGTTTAGAAAAATAGTGTATCTTATGTCCTAATTCCCATAACCTGTGCATGTTACTTTTCTTAGAAAAAGGGTCTTTGTTTTCTTGATCTGGAGGGTGATTCTAGGCATATGTTCATTTTGTGATATTTCACTGACTGTTATAGTTTAATTGAAAAGTTAAAAACTTTTCTCTTAGAAGTCCTTATATTAATATAAAGGCTGCTTGAGACCTTTAATTACCAATTTTTGTCTTAATCACAAAGCAAAAGAGAAAAACATGTTCCAAACACTACCTCTTCTATGTCAAAGTTATCTATTAAAATCGGGACACTTGGAGGATCACTGGATAATATGAAGTCTGATATAAATTAGGATTCTTACAAGCCATAAGGAAATAGTCTCAGACCCTAAAATGACTGGTCATTGTATTGAAAGAGTTTGGAATTATATTCCACTATAATCTGAGAGATATTAGTCAAGGACTTATTGATTCTGTCTGACTTTCCTCTTGTCTCCCTAAGTTTCTGTCTGATATATTTTTTTCAATTGATAATTTCCAAAGCTCCCTGTCTCTCCATAAGTGTAAAACTATGGTTCCAATGTCAAGAAAAAGTTTAAAACTTATTTTCTATTAATATAGCTGAGACTGAAAGTGACAGTAGGTCAGGGCTGCCTTGAAATTGGTCTAATGCCGAGAAATCAGCTGCTTTTTCCTATGATCAATACAGTCTATTGTTTATTCCAGGGACCTAAAAAGAGTTCCAGGGGCAATTGAATGCTTTGTATGTAGAAGAGCTGAATTTCTTGTGCATCCTTCAAACTGCTTTCCAATAAACATATTGTTTGTGGATAAATTTGGAAATGTTGATGAAGAATAATTCATGGTGGGGGCACCTGGGTGGCTCAGTTGGTTAAGTGTCTGACTCTTGATTTCACCTCAGGTCATGATCTTAGTTCGTGAGATGGAGCCCTGAGTTGGACTCTGCCTGCTTGGGATTCTCTGTTTCCCTCTCTCTCTGCCTCTCTGAAGCTCGTGCCCTCTCTTTCTTAAAATAAACATATTTTTAAAAAGAATAATTTCTGGTGTATGTAATATCACTCTGTCCCTGAAAAAGCCCTATAAATCAATAGTATATAAATAAATATATATTCCTAGAAGAATATATAGTCCAAAATTAACAGTACTTCTAGTTCAGCAATGTTTTATAATAAAGTACATCCCATGCAGTTTTGTTTTTGCTAGTTTCAAAGGATTAGAGGTCCTATTTTGTTTTTATACTTGTCTGTATATTATGAAATTTTTTCAATGATTGAATTATTTTTATAATCATAGAAATATATATGTATATATATAATATTTTTTCCACTTTTGTTAAAGTAGGGCACTTCTGGAAAGCTATTTCTGTTTCAAAAATCATAGTTTTGAAGATGATCTAATGTATCACCTAATGTATTTCAGCTTGAATCTTTACTACTCAGCATGCATATGTGTGTGTGTGTGTGTGTGTGTGTGTGTATGCAACAGTATGTGTATGTAGCTACACAGTGTATATGTGTGTGTCTATAAATGTATATATACATATGCATATATATGTGTCCGTAAATATAGACTTGACACGGTGTTTATATAGAACTTCTCAGTGTATATATACCTGCTAATGAGAGGCATGGTGAAACTCCTGAAAACTGTATCTATACTTAGCTCTCTAATACCATGAAAACCTTTGACTGGATTTCTACTTTGTGAAGACTTAAACAGTTCAATGATAGTTTAGTGGATGTAACCAACATAGGCGTAGAGACTTTAACTCTACCATACCACACAACTGTAAACAGTCTAAAATTAGAGTTTTCACAAAATGAACAGAAACCGCTTTTCGACACATAGCAAGTGAGTGAAAATGGGGAAAATGTCAAGGGATATAGATAAGTGGTTAAGTGGAAAGCAAAATAGTCATTGTAATGCCAGCTTAATAGCAGTTCTTCCCTTGTATGACCTCTACTTTAGTCAAGTGTAAACAAATTGAGGCTTATGTCCTTACATAGAATCTCAATTCAAATTCCACGTAAATAAAACAGGACTGAGAAGGTCTGGCTGGCATCCTATCCTAGGCAAAGTTCTTCAGGCGGTGAGGAGGTTATCTTCAGGTTCTCTACTCTGCCTGTACAATCTAAGGCATGCATGTGACATGATGAGTACTTGAGAAGCAATCACAGTCAGTGTGCCAATATGACACCCATAAGGACAACCTGTTGCCGCTGCTGCTGCTGCTGCTTCTGCTACTACTACTGCTTTTCCTCCTCCTTCCTCCCCCTTCCTCCATCTCCTTCTTCTTCTTGTCCTCCACCTTCTCCTTCTCTTGCTATCCTGTAGCTTTTTTACAACCCAAGCCTTGCAGCTGCTAGAACAGCAGACAAGACTGTCTTTATAGCAGTTTGTTTTTGATTGGCAGAAGCTAAGGTGTGGCCTTTACTTCCTTGGGTCTTTGAACCAGTCTTTGCGTTGTGAATTGGAGTAATAAGAAACCCTCAATCAATGCAGTTGTCTCTGTACATAGTTGGTGTTCCAAATAGCCCATCAGCTTCAGTCTTAATTTTTGAATGCTGAGATCCATCTACCACTTTTGCTCTGTACGTATATCAGTGATGGATTAAAGATGGTTGCAAATATATTGCCACACCTCACAGAGTGAGGCAGATTTCCTTTCTCCTTGCCTTGAATCTGGGCTGTCTCTAGAAACTATCCCAACCAACAGAATGCAACAAAAGGGCTGTTGAGTTCAAGATTGGGTCTTAAGAACTCTTAAGTTTCCAGGGGCGTCTGGGTGGCTCAGTCAGTTAAGCATCCAACTTCAGCTCAGGTCATGATCTCACAGTCTGTGGGTTTGAGCCCCACGTTGGGCTGTGTGCTGACAGCTCAGAGCCTGGAGTCTGCTTCAGATTCTGTGTCTCCCTGTCTCTCTGACCCTCCCCTGCTCACGCTGTCTCTCTCTCTCTCTCTGTCTCTCTCAGAAATAAATAAAAACATTTAAAAAATATTAAAAGAAAAGACAAAAAAGAGCTCTTAAGTTTCTAACTTTGCTATTTGGAACACACTGTCTTGGGAGCTAGCCATGCAAGAATGTCCTGCTATGCAGAGGCCATGTTTGACACATGGAGAGAGAGAGAGAGAGAGAGAGAGCGAGAGCGAGCAGTGTGTGCAAGCGAATAGCCTCAAGGAACCAGTCATGTGTCTGAAACATTTAGGACCAGCCAAATGTTTCCAAGTTTGGAGAAAATAGAGACAGAGGAATAGAGTTATGTTTTTGAAAACTTTAATCATTATTTACAGTTAAAAATAAATACAAACAAATATGCCAACACAATCTGTAATGCTAAAGAAAAATCAGTAGGTTTTTATATGTTATTGGAAAGAATTAAGATCATTTAAGCACTAAAGCAAGCATAAAATTAAGTGATCCCCATCAGATTTTTGACACCTCATCTAGCGTTCCTTTTACCATTTATTTATAGGCTCTAAAGGATTATAAACATGAGACACACAGTCATTAAATTGCTTCATGATATAAAATGTCCCATTTAAGTTATGGCCTTTGTGAGGATGAACAGAGAAAGTCTTATTTAGCCCTCAGCTTATGACATAGTTTGTATGCTGGTAGTTCCTTCCATCTTTCGGAGTATCCCTATTTTATTACCATGTGGGTTTTTTTTTTTTCAGCTTAAAATCTAAGCAGACTGTTTACTAACTGTACTCAGGGTTCACATCATTGCTCCTAGAGCCTATACCCACTTGAGAACCATATATTGTTTCCCTAAGAAATGAGGTTAATTGTCCTTACCATTGGTGCCTCCCTCTGATGGCATCCAGCGCAAGACCACTTGGCAGGAGTGATGCCCAACTCAGCCCAGGACTTTGGCCAAATTCTACTTGACCTAGCTCATTGTGAATAACACTCCTTAGGCCACTTCCAGTTCCCCCAGTGCATTAATGCAAAATTAGAGGGATGGAATTGGGTTGTAAGACAAAGTTTTCCAGGATGGAACCAACCCAATATCACCGGGAATAGAGACATTGATAAAATTCCCTTATTACACAATTCACAGCCTCTTTAAGGAAACTACCATCAATTAAACTATGGAATTATTGAGATGTACATTTTACTAATTACAAGTCTTGTAACTTTATAACTGTACAAAAGTTTGATACAATAATCGTGAAGTTTATTGAAGTAGTGATTATCCCAAGTTCTATAGTTCCTCATTCTTTTTTTGTCTTTAGTGAAGGTGAATGAGAAAAGTTCTGATGTTTAGCTCTTTAGAGTAGGATGCATGTATCATCTCGTGAGTCAACATTCCTCTGGAGATAATGGATTTCATTTTGAAGTCTTCTGCGTTCATCTTCGATTTCCCTTTTGAGCTTTTCAGTCTCTTCCTAAAGAGTGGTAAGTAAAACAATAGAGCTTAGCAGACGCTTATGTCCAGATCACTTTAGGGAGAAAAGCCCATATCATTGATTTCTCTTTGTTTATTTTAACCCATCAGTAAATAACAGAAGACAGATCCTGAATTCATTTCGATTCATGTGCATTTCTCATTCTTGGTTTCCTACTTGTGTAATCCCGTACCTCCTTCTCTAGCTCCAGAAACATCATCATCTCCCAATCCCTGAAATATTGGTGTCCTGAAAAATATACCCTGAGGCCCCCTCCTCCTTTTCCTGTTATCGTATACAGCCTCCCCGGGAGATCTTTGTCACGTCTCAACTTAATTCTTGTCTATACGGAGAGGAATGTCAGCTCCAGCTTGCAGAGGAGAGGCTGATACAACTGGGTGTGTAGGTGATCTCTACCATCAGGCAAGGAGTCTGAGTCTCTGATGAGGCAATTTTTTCTAGGTCTCCACAGTTACAGGACAGAAGTAGAAGGTGAGTGAGGGGATCAAGTAACCCAGGTTGACTAGACTGCCTTTCAGTGCAGGGCTGTAATCTCAAAAGGTCTTGGAGCAGGTGCCTGGGAAACTGGGGCCTGCTGGTCGATTTGCCACCCCAGGGAAGTGTTGTCTCAGAAGAGTATTCGCCTCAGATTTTTACACCAGATTTGCAGAAACAAACCACTGCAGATGCCACTCTCTGGGAAGGCAGTTCAGATAACTTGCTGAATCGATACTGGCATTGAGTTATCTCTCTTTGGAACTTCATTTTTCTCACCGCAAAAATAGGGACCGAATACTTGTGCTTCACGTTGAACAGGATAGGTGAGAGCACGGATGCAAAGTGCTTTGTATAGTGCAAAATAAATAGGAGCTACTGCTTTGTGAGCAATGATAATGACAAAGGACTGAATGAAACAAACTGCAAGTAAAGGCCTTCAGAACCAGTAATGATTAAGGCAAGGACCGGGCATAGACACAAAAAGATGAACTAACTTAACAAGGTAATCACAACCGATGAAGAAGACTGTCCAGAGCAATGAACAAGTTAACAGCAACAACAAATACAAACAAGCACTGATTACCAGGGTTAGAAACGTCCTGGGTTTTTAACATATATTCGTGCTTATTCTGGGCCAAGCACAATTTAAAACACAAATGTTCTCACTTAATTATCAAAATAACTTTATCAAATGGGTATTATTACTGTCTCTGTTTTTCCTCAGGAGGAAATCGAGGCACAGGGAAGGTAGATAGCTTGCCCAAACCATATATTTAGTAGGAGGTGGGAGCTGGGATTCATACCCAGTATGTTTCACTCTGGAGTCCTTGTTCTGAGCCATAAATACTATGCTGCCTCTCCCCCTTGTCACTGCTTCCTGCTCTCATGGATACAAGGGTGGGGGATGAGAGAAAGTCCTGCGATGAAATGATTAATGAATACCTGCTGTCGACGTTCCAGGGCCATCTGCTGTTGTCTTCTTTGGTTCTGTTGGAATATTTCCATTTGTCTCACTTGTTGCAGATGGAGTCGCTGCCTTTCCTCCAACATTTGCTGGTTATGCCTTTGAATTTCCTGCAACCTTTGTGCTACAATCTTTGCAGCCTCTGCTTTCCTATGTGCCTCTGAGGAAGAAAGAAAATGACAATCCTCTCTAGGATTAAAGGGCCTCTTCCTTCTACTTCCCACTCTCATTATTGCTACTACGTCATAAAGAAAATTCCGTGCAACTGTGCTTCCCTTCCAGGAAACTATACTGCAGCTTGACCGCACGTGCCCTATTCAGATTTAGCCCGAGGAGCTAGGAATCATCTTTGGCATTCTAGCTCCAGTTTACTGATCCGGGTGAACCAGGCGAAATTAAGTTAAATATGTAGAAATGTCGGTCTTGCATATCCTTCATTTTATTCTCACCGTCTATCTCCTTTTGCCTTGCTGTGAGAGCCAGGTCTGTCTGTAGGATGGTATCGCTCGTAGACTGTTGGGACTGCAAATATTCCTGCAGAGCTTTCTCAGCCTAGGAACCCCAAAAACATGCAGTTGGAAGTAGGAAATGGTGACTAGGAATGTTATAAACCTCTGTTACTTTTTTGTCCCAGGATCTTTTCCTTCATGGAAGTGCTTAGCCCCAGCTTGGTAAAACCGCCACTCAAGTCTCTTCTGTCACAGTGGTGGGCACAAGCCCTTGGCTGGCCAGTCAGAGCACCTGAGGCTACTAGGTGCAAAGAATTTGGGTACAGGTGGGGAAATACTACTTGTGGGTGTTTTAAAGACTGATATGGGGGGAACGCCTAGTGGCTCAGTGGTTAAGTGCCCTACTTTGGCTCGGGTCATGATCTCACTGTTCGTGAGTTCAGACTCCACATAGGGCTCTCTCTGCCTGTCAGTACGAGTCTGCCTCAGATCCTCTGCTTCCTTCTCTCTCTGCACCTCCCCTGCTCTCCTCTCTCTCTCTCAGTCTCTTTTAAAAAAAGACTGACATGGATGCTGGGCAAATATACACTCTCGCTGGGACTGAGAGCACAAAAGACTAGTTATGCTTGCAGCTGCTGGTGTCACCCTGTTGCCATGTGGGGTGAGCCTGCCTGAGAATGAAACCAACAGTGAGGAAAACAGAGGAGGAAACTGAAGTGGAGTTTGAAAAGAAAGAAGGAAGGGAAGAAATTAATGACATTATTTGAACTCCCAAACGTAGCTTTACTTACAATGACACTTAAATGTCTTGCTTTTAGTTTAAGTAAGCCAAGGAATATATTTTTTTTCTTAAGCTAGCTTCAATTATTGGAATTCTGTGCCATATAACCAAGAAAGTCCCTTAATTACAGCGAATGTTCATGGTTGCAATAAAAGTCTGGTGACTATGGTGATGTAGCTCAGTTTAATTCCACAGCTATCATTAGAGTGTAAATACTTTCTTCCTGTCCTCATTGATTTTTGAAAGAAGCCCCTTAAAGTTCCCTGCAATTGATAGATAAAACTCTCAATACCTGTGTTCCTTTCCTGGGCTCCTGATAGTACCTTGCTTTCAGCTCTTCTGTCTTCTGAATGAAGAGACTGTGTCCTCCTGGCTTTGAATAAATCCCCTGCCTCACCTCATTTTCTAGAGGGCCAAAGATAGCCTGAAGTAAAGCTGAGCAACGGTTCGATGATGCCTCCATGTTCTGGTTATGAAAGTCATCCTTCTTGGCTTCTAGCAGAGCCTTCAAAGAGATGAGCATCCATGGAAAAACAGTTAGCAACAGTTCAGCGTTTCTAGAAATGGTTCTCAAGAAGAATCTTAATATTTTTCTAGAAACTAGAGGACTACGAGTAAGACTATATCCTTCCCACCAAAACCTAGAAAAGTTCCAAAGTTGATATACACTGTAGAAAAATTACTTTTGTGTATGGAATCCCCTAAAACCTATTTCTTTTGCTATTTCTGCTTTGGATTTCATCTTTAGACTACAGCTCTCTAGCCTCAAGCCTTAATTTTAAATGCAACCTATATTTAAACATTTCTGGTTTTAGTGTGACACTGGGCCTGGGGTTACCAGTGAGTAAAGGGATTGCAATACCTGGCTGTAATGACAGAGTATGTGCTGTTAAACTTGGAGACCTAAGCTGTTAGTAGGCCCAGTTGGCAATTCTGTATGCTTATTTAATTAAAAAAAAAAGTTAATGAATACCTTATGAATAAAATGTTTTAAGGGATAAGATGACTTTAGAAAAATAGTCCATAGGTGTAATGTGGTAAGGTAAGTTGTGTGTATGTGAAAGCTTCAGGATCTGCAGGGCCCAGAGTAGTTACGTGTTTGTTTGTTTTCAGGGTGACAGTGATATCTTGATCACATAAGTGGTAATCATTATTTTTCAGTCCAAAAAGGAATGCTTTTCATCATTCATTCCCCATTTGTCTTTCATAGCAATAAAAGTCAACTTTGCCTCTTATTGCTCATAAGCCCCATGAACTAGAGGGAGGAAAAGATAATTACCTCTAATTCCTTCTGGAACTTTTGGTTCACATCCTTGAAAGAGTTCTTCATGAAGACTTCTATGGCCTCTTTTTCACAGGCCCTGTGCAGGTCCAGGAGCTCGGAGGCAGTTTCTGTGGGCAGCTGTAGCTTCTGGCCCATCTGCTGGTCATAGTGGACAATGGCCTTTTTCACTGCTGCTGAGTTCTTAAACTGGGCCAAGGCCACAACTGAGTTCTCCGTGCATGGCAGATCCCCACGGCTGATGGCATTAACACAGGTCTGCACTAGGCTCTTTAGATCTTCACAGGGGAAAGGATGCACATATTATTTGCAAGAAAGAGGGTATGTGCCACATTGAGTAATTCTGTGAATGTTAATTTCCCAACACATTGCCTGCACTTTTTTAGCATTCCTCACACTGTTCAGGTAGCTCAAATAAGTTCCTTTGGGAGATTATGTGACCAAGAAGCAAGATGGTTCTTTTTAGGATACAAGAAAGTATTCAAAGGGGAAGACTCGAGATATGTGTGATCATCTGTGTTTCATCTTTTTCCCATTGAGAAATGAGAAATGGTTATATTAAGTTAGGCATTTTTGTTGATTAGAATGCTATGGGTCTTTTGCCTCTTTACTCTTCCCTTTCTTTCCCTCTTCCTCATGTTCCTAATCCCTTCAGAATTACCTTCAGTCTTTCACTTTAGTATGTAAAGCTGGCATGCGTGTTATCCTGCTCTGGAAAAGCACACAGTGAGCACATTAGACTGTGTCTCCTTTACCCTTTGTTGGAGCTTTCCTGCTTGTCTCCCTTGTCTTTCACATACTTTTGTTTGCATTCAACTGCCTTCTTGAGTGCAGCAATGTTACAAACCTCTGAGATGTAGAGACTGTAGGAGAAACTGGACCTAGAAGTCTGCTTAGATTTCTTTTAGGGTTCTAGACAACCAGGGCCTCTGGTTAATGTTTCTGTGAACTCACTTCTCTTCTACAGAGAATATATATGTGTTCTTCATCCTGTGTCTCCCAAAGGCTGTGACATATAACGTGCTCTATTGGTGGAACAAATGATGTCAACCCATGTGGGTTAGTCTAGTTCAATGGTGGACCAATTATGGGTAGAACTTCTTTAATTTGACCTTTTTTTCAGGTCACATTTCTCTTTTATTCTACTTTGGAGGCATTATTAAAAAAGGACTAGAAATATTTCTGGTACCCACTGGAATTTTGTAAAATGCATTTTCAACATTGGCAGTAGAAGGAGAAACTTCTAACAGTGCCCCATTCTTTATGTTGAATTGAAGGAAAAACCTAAAAAAGGTACTCACAGGGTCCATTGACCTTGATGCCTCCTGAAAGAGTCTTAGTCTTGGAATGGTTGAAGATGTAGGAACAGAATGCTGCCACTTGTTGCACAAACTCAGGATCCAGCTCATCATTATCCAGCATCTCAAGCTGGGCAAGCTTCTTGCAGTGAGCAGGAGAGTCAAAGATAAAGCATTTCCTTATTGGAAAGAATTCTTTTATACAGAGACGGGGCAAATTGAAATTTTGAAGAGTTTTATCAGTGCCTGAGGAAGGAAATAGGATTCATTTAGTATAACATTAACATTTGTGTGAACTTATTCTCTTCAATTAAATGTGCCTTCCACCTGATTATTAATTTTAATACATGTTCACAGAACCTAAGCAAAAAGCTAAAAGTTTTAGCTAAAAGCTAGTCAGGGAAAGGAACAAAGAAAAATTCACTCCAAAAACAGGGGAGTAATACAATTTAATATTGAGGAGTCTATTAGTCCACTGTAAGTTAATATTTATTTGGTAGTTTAGCCAGGTGAGAATGAATTTAACTGCCTATACACAAGAGGTAATTTCTTGTATTACTTTTCTCTCTTTCTCTTTCCAAAACTGAAATCCCTGTTACCTTGCTTTAGCTTCAGTGAATTCTCCAGGTATTCATCCTCTGTGATAAGTTGCCCATCTATTTCTAGGGCTAGGTAGAAATCTCTCAGAGTCCACACTAAGTCTGGATAGAAACTAGCGAAGTTAGTTGTATCTTCAACCCCATCAAGATCAGGTGAGGATACTGTCCAAAGCAGATTTGACAGTTCTGTCACATAGCTGGGTTGCAGTTAAGGAAAACTCGTGAATTTAGGACTTATAAGCCCGTATTTAATTCCATGTCTCCATATACTTTTGTTTTCCCTTTGGGTCTTAACCCAACTCCTCATTTCATCTGTAAGTATAAGGACTCATACTTACCATGTTTTCATTTTTCTGTGTGATTCACAAAAACTCACAAACATAACTGATGAATAGAGTACTTTCTGGTGTTGGTGCCATCTTGGGCCACAAAAGGATACTGCAATAAGTCCATAGCCCTCTGGTCAATTTTGTTCATAGTGTTGTATACAAAGGTACTACTCAGTAGTATTGCCAGTGCAAATATCTGGATATCATTATTCTTGTCACCCTAGAAGAACAAATTTAAGTCATAACTCGTGGTTTTCCCAGATGAACAATCATTAAAAATAGGCCCTTAACCTACAAATGTTAAATAAGACCAACAAAAATGATTATGAGAAATCTATGAACTTTGAATAGAAAAGTTCTATTTATTAACACTGATAATTTTATGCAGATTCACATATTTTTAATTCATCAGTTCCTTTTTTAACTAGTCAGGTATTTGCAAAATGGATAGTCAAAGTTTGTGGACTAACCAGAATACTTAAAATCAAGATTTTCATCAAAAACACACAAACAACAGTATTGGTGAGAATGTGGAGAAAAAGGAAACCTCGTACACTGTTGATGGGTGTGCAAACTGGTGCAACCATGTGGAAAACAGTATGGAGGTTCCTTAAAGAGTTAAAAATAGAGGGGCACTTGGGTGGCTCAGTCGATTAAGCATCTAACTTTGGCTCAGGTCATAATCACACAGTTTATGAGTTTGAGCCCCGCATCAGGCTCTGTGCCGACAGCTTAGAGCTTGGAGCCTGCTTCATATTCTTTGTCTCCTCCTCTCTGCCCTTTCCTGCTCACACACAAACTCTCTTTCTGTCTCTCAAAAATAAATAAACATTAAAAAAACGTTAAAAATAGAATTACTATATGGTCCAGTGATTCTATTACTTGGGTATTTTCCCAAATAATACAAAAAATCTAATTCAAAAAGATATATGCACCCCTATATTTAGTGTGACATTATTTACAATAGCCAAAATAATTGTTGGTTGATGTTGATAGTAGATGAATGGATAAAGAAAATGTGGTATATATGTATATAAAATGGGACATTATTCTTCTGTAAAAAAAAAAAAAAAGAATGAATTCTTGACATTTCCAATAACATGGATCTAGAGGATATAATGCTAAGTGAAATAAGTCAGTCAGAGAAAGACAAATAATTTTTTAAAGACATATAATTTCACTCATGTGGAATTTAAGAAATAAAACAACGAATAAAGAGACAAAAATAAAAACCAGACTCTTAACTATGGAGAACAAACAGCAGGTTACCAGAGGGGAGTTGGATAGGTGGATGGATGAAATAGGTGAAGAGGATTAAGAGTATATTTATAGCAATGAGCACTGAGTAATGTATAGAATTGTTGAATCACTATATGATACACCTGAAATGAATATAACACTGTACATTAATTATACTGGCATTAAAAATTAAAAGAAAAAAATCAAGATTTTCAATTGTGTAAAACAAGTTTGGCCTGTACACACAATACATATATCTATTTTATTAACTAGTTATTACAGTATAATGCATAATAATTCAGGGATGTCTGGGTGGCTCAGTCAGTTAAGTGTCCAACTCTTGCTTTCAGCTCAGGACATGATCTCACAGTTCATAGGATTGAGCCCTGTGTTGGGCCCCATGCTGACACCTCGGAGCCTGCTTGGTATTCTCTCTCTCTCCCTCTCCCTCTGCTCCTCCCCTGGGTGTGCTCTCTCTCTCTCAAAATAAATAACTATTTAAAAAAAAAAAAGATTTTAAAGGGATGCCTGGGTGGCTTAGTCGGTTAAGTATCTGACCTCGGCTCAGGTCATGATCTCGTGGCTCATGAGTTCCAGCCCCATATTGGGCTCTGTGCTGACGGCTAGCTCAGAGCCTGGAGCCTGTCTTTAGATTCTGTGTCTCCCCCCCCCCCTCTCTCTCTGTCCCCTGCTCATGCTGTCTCCCTCTCCTGTAAAAATAAATAAAAACATAAAAAATTTTTTTAAATTTTTTAAAATACACACTAATTCATATTACTGATCTTATCCAATACTCAAAACAGTGCCATAAGATAATTTTATAATTACTATCTCTATACAGACGAGAAAACTAAAAAACAAAATTAGGTGACTGTTCTGATTTTGTGGTAAATCAAAAGCAAAATGAAAACAAAAAACAAGGGAAGTTCAAGGGAAAGATTCAGTCATGTGCTATAGCCAACTCATAGCAGCTCACAGGAGTTAACTGTACACATCTATTCTGAACCCGGAGTTTGGTGACATCATTTTGGTAGCTTGGAATCAGCTATGATGGGAATATTTAGAAAACCAGTAAGTGCTACCAGTCAAGGCTTCCCCTAACCCCCACACAGTGGGCTGGATGTTATATACCAGCATAGAAGTGGAAAAAGCCCATGGGTCTACTGTTCAAATGCTAAGTTGGATAAGACCAAAGAGGAAATAAAAGATTTGGGGAGGTTTGCTTGTCAAAGTCAGAGAACTGCAGGTGCTCAGAGCCCTGATTTGAACCCAAGGTTCTCTGACCCAGAGCTCACTACTAATCACTCTTCTCTGCAGGATCAACTCGTGACAGTGGTTTCATTGGTATCATCTTTTCTGCATTTCAACTAACTGTCTAGCTCCATATTTTAGCGTCTTGTCCTAGTCATGATTCTGGCTTATAGATTTCCTCATCTCAGATTTCCAAGTCTTGACTATTAAAAATAGAAAAGGAAAAAATGGTATACTCTATCAAGTAGAAGTACAAATTTAGGAAAAAACAAAACAAAATATAAAACATCCCTTGGTAAAGAATGTTCAGAAGTGAGGAGGAATCAAAAGGAATTCCTGTTCCTTACCTTCTCTACATCTCCTAGGCCCTCTGTGTCAAGAAGAACTAGGGTGTGGTCTGGCTTCTTGGGATGAGGCACACACCACATCCAGATTCCCTTGGTGTGAGATTGTACTGTGGATCCAATAGAGAAGCCTACAAGGGGGAGGGGAGAGGTTGTAACAGAGGAGGGGATCTGGAAATTGGAGACCTTCTTTGACAACTGAACTTGGGTTTAAGAAATTCAAGATGAGGACACATCAAAAAGGATAACCAATATTGATCTGAATTAGAATAGAGGAATGGGAAAAAGGAAATATCAAATAACATACATTGGAAATTTGGTATTTTTTCCTTTTTACAAGAATGTAATGCCACTAAAATTTTAATCATTTATAATTGCATGTATAGAAATTATTTTATTGGGGCACCTGGATGTCTCAGTTGGTTGAATGTACAACTCTTGATTTTGGCTCAGGTCATGATCTCAGAGTTGTGAGACTGAGCCCCACATTGGGCCTGTGCTGAGTGTGGAGCCTGCTTATGATTCTCTCTCTCTCTCTCTCTCTCTCTCTCTCTCTCTCTCTCTCCCCCCCCCCTCCCTCTCCCCCCTCCCCCCTCCCTTCCTCTCTCTTTCTCTCTCCCTTCCCCCCTTATCTCCCTCTCCCTTTGCCCCTCTCCCCAGTTTGTGCTCTCTCTTCCTCTCCCAAAAAATAAAGTTTTAAAAACAATTAAAAAAGAACATATTTTACTGATGTCTTATTCCTTATGATTGGAAAATATGCTTTTCCCAAGATGATAACAAGGGGGGGAAAGGAGGTGATATGTCAGGAACAAGCCTCTGTCTTTATTTCCCAGAACATAATTAGACACCTGTAATAGAAACATTAGCTTTCAATATTCCTCTGTGTCTCTAACTTTCTCTCCTTGCATCACCATGCTCAATGCAGGCAGTGTGGGTGGATAGAAGGGACTCGGCAGAGCTTTTTTGGTGCCACTCACCCTTGTTCTTCCCAGCCAGCTTGTTCATCAGGTAGGATTTGCCTGTGCGGTAGAGGCCCACAATAGCCACCACCACGAGAGGATTCTTGGTGGCTGACAGGATCTCCAAAGCTTCCTGATTAACCACCAGTTGCCCTTCAGTGTTCTCAATGAGGCACACTGGGGCCAGCATGCAGATCTCTGATTCCATGTTCACGGTGTTCCCTGGTCTGCAAGGGAAGAGATGGGATAGACTGAAATATCCAGTCTTACAGAAGAGAAGGTCATTTTGCTTTCTGAACTTCATGATGCACTACTTCCCCAAATGGCCCAAGTTTCTGAAGAAATTTTTGAAAAAAGGACAGCAAAGAGGATCACAATAAAATATGTTGTAGGCCCTTTTGAGGACTTTATTATAGGCCACCCCACTGGTTCTTAAATATTTGGTGGGCATAAGGAAATCCATTTCCTGAGTTTTACCTACTGAGTAGTTTAAATCCAATTCCTTCCTTTTGGTTTTTGGCTTGCTTATGTTTCTTAGTTTTTACCTCTGTGAATCCTTAGATTGACCCTTTAGGACCACTATTTGTTATATTACACTTGCTTGCCCTTTATCGGCTTGCTTCACTCTCATTTAGGGCTATGTCTAGTCAAACGGTGTACTGAATCCTTCCAGGTTATTATATAGCATGAACAAATCATAATCGTTTTCTTGTAGCTGTTTAAAGAACGTTTTGTATAGCTATAGTAGTGCGTTCAATAAAAACTTCAGTGTGTGACTGGTTTATGAATTTGGAGTAAGTGAAAATACTCTCTTAAAGAAGACTTGACCATTTATTTTCTAACCTCTGGGCATCAATTGCTGTAACCTGATGAGTTCCTGATAAAGCATTTTTAGGCTATCTGATACTCAAGCAAATGTTTGCTCTTCTGCTTTGCCTTCCATTGTAGAAGTGATTACTGCAGAAGCTAAAAAAATCCAACATCTGCCTGACTTTTTTTTCCCTAAATTTTGCAGTGAAAAATTATGGATTCCCTTATTAGCCAGCAGTAAAAACTGCTTTTTAAAAATTATAAAACCCACTTCTCCCTTCCTCTTTGTAGCTAATGCATTGGAGATTATTCAGGTGACAAAAACAAACTGCTTATGACCAGATCATAGGCAATCCTTTGCAAATGACATAGCATCATGGACTTGGGAGCCAGAAAATGGCCAGGCCAACCTGAACCCAGAGAGGGATTCCATGATTTTACAGACTCATGCCAAGTGTCCTTTCATTCTGACACATCTACAATGCAGTATTGGGATCTTACGTTAGTAGGTTTCTGGTTGCCTGATTTGTGTAAAGCAGGGATCATAATCATTTCTAGACTACAAAGATATGGGGAACTGGCAGTGATTATCTACAACAGTTATCTAGAAAAACAGAAGATACATAATCCAAATCTATGTGCAAATATTGGAGGTTTACAAGCTCTTGTGCTTTGGGATGATGTTGCTCATGGGAGAGGGAATAGATTTGTCTCAATTTCCAGACCCCCCTTAAGGAATAACTTAGAACTGTGTATTTCTATTAATAGAAGTATTTTACCCATTGCCCCCCAGATGATATCTGGGTGGCATCTTTAATACTTTAGGAGAGTCCAATCTCCAAAATATCTTTGTAGATTCAATGTGTTCACACCCATATATAACTATTATTTTGCCGTTCCTAACCCAAACTGTGATGTGTGCTCTAAGATGCATCCTTCTTAATTCTACTAGAGCCTCATAAACTTTTGTAAACAAAAACAATGCAAGAATGAATCAACACACACACACACACACACACACACACACATTTTGCCTTTGAAGTAAGGCAGACTTGATTTCCAGTACCAGCCCTACAATGGGCTATCTGACGCTGGCATTTCTACTCAACACTCTTAGCCTGTTTGTGAAAAAACAGAAGTAAATAAATAGTTGCTTATGCCAGTATAACTGCTAGCTTAAAAAAGAGAGCTGCAGGAGATGGGGAAATAGTATAAAGAAGGAAAATGTGAGGAAACATAGAAGAAAAAGTTCAGAAGTACTAAGTGATGAGGTTTCTAGAGGAAGCCATCTGTTTTCAGGCAAACAATTCTAGTTGGTTTTGTTTGTAATTGTTGTTTCTTGCTTTTGTATTGTTTTTGGTTTCGGTTTGGAGGAGGAGGAAAAGCTCTTAGCAAGTAGATAAGTGGAAATCAAGCAAGAAGGAGATGCACGAAGCTTGTGTCATGATAAGAAATTCAAAGGTGTGAGTTCTAAGGAGCAATCAAAATTGCCAGGTGGTATTGACAGGTCAAGTTGGGCAACTGGAATTAAGTGATTCCATAATAGTAGAGGCAATAGAGTAGTAGAAAGAGAAACCAGCACAAAAAGCTTTAAGGAACGAGTGTGTTCCAGGAAGTTCAAATTAATTAATCCAGGGCTATTTCTAAAGGAAAAAAAATCCATCTTCAAAGTACGAGACTATGACTAAAAATATGTAGCTGTTTTCATTAAACCTCTTCATTGTTCACTCTGAATTTCAATTTTTTTTCTTTTTCCATTGTTAACACTGTAAGCAAGCTATTTACATTGCATCTCATTCATTGCTCTTTCTCATAAAAACAATATGGTCACAGTTCTTCAAACTTTCAGGCTGCAGCATGAAATAATCAGGTTTTATCAAAGACGAAGTGGCATACATAATCTAAGTGGCAGTTATGATCTCCATAGATCCTAAGGTGGCAAAGGAAGGAAAACAGGGTTAAGACATTTCAGATTGTTGGTTTAGTCTCCACACATGCATGTGTCTAATTCAGCAGTAAGCAGATGTAGCTGGGACCTGAGGGACTCTGCTGCCTGCCTTACAACACCACAATTTAGTCTTTAACGACATCTAACGGTGCACATCAGGTTCTGCTGCCTATCCTGGAAGAGAAAGTTTTTAAAACATTCTGACCCTTGCCCCAATCTTACCTTAACTGTAAAATTAGTAGCAGAGATCCTTGAGAGCTGGTAAGCAAGCTGCTTACATGAGAATGTGTGAAGTTTAGCTGTGTTGGTTTCTGATATACTTCTACCCAGACTTGGGGATTTCTTACCACCACCCCCTCCACCAGACCTGCAGAGGGCACATGATTAGAATATGAAATGGAAACTGAAAGGGGCAATTCTTCAAAACCTCACTTCAGAAACTGAAACCACAAAGCAAGCTCTACAGGAAGTCATTTCAACGGTAACTTCCCAGTAACTTCCCGAGTGTTTCTCACTGGATAAGCTGGATGTATTTGGCCTGAGTTCTAAGAAACTGCATGTATTAGGGGAAGGGACTGTTTTGCAACTTTGAGATTGATGTCATTTGTACTTTTTTTTATACTCCAAGTCTTGTCCTTAGGGCTTTGAGAAACCATAAGTCCACAGTTACAGTGAATATAACCCCAAAGTATGTATGAATTTTGCGAATATACCATTTTTGTTTGTTTGTTTTTAAGGAAGCAGCCATTCTATGCAACACAGAGAATGAATTGCTGAATTATTTTAATGACAAAAAAAAATTACCTCCTGAGGAGAGAAATGCTGAAAAATTTTTAAGAACTTGGAAAATGATCAGTCATTACTGGGTCAACAGTTTTTTGTAACTGTATAAATAAGGCAAATATTCAAACCAAACACTTTAAATATCTATTACATAGAAATTTGATGTTGAAAGATAAGCAAGAAACAAACAAGCAAAAATACCATAATACCTGTGAGGAAATTTCAGCCTGGATAAATACAATCTGCTACCTCCCCCGTCCCTCTAAATCTTATTCTATGACTGGCTGAAATCCATTGCCCTATCTTTGAGTTTGGTGATTCTTTCTTGCTTTTCCTATTAGTTTTATTTTAATTCCAGTATTGTTCATGACCAGTGTTATATTAGTTACAGGTGCACAGTATAGTGATACAACAATTCCATATGCTACCCAGTGCTCATTATAAAGTACCTTCCTTAATTCCTTCACCTATTTCACCCACCCTCACCCATCTCTGCTCAGGTAATCATCAGCTTGTTCTCTGTAGTCAAGAGTTTCTTGATTTGTCTTTTTTCTTTTTTCCTTTGCTTGTTTGTTCTGTTTCTTAAATTCCACATATGAAATCATATGGTATTTGTCTTTCTCTGACTGATTTCGCATAGCAGTACATTCTCTAGATCCATCCACGTTGTTGCAAGTGGAAAGATTTCATTCTTTGTTATGGCTGAATAATTGTATTATTCATTGTATAAGCCATTGTATATATGTACACATCGTCTTTATGCATTATCTATGGATACTTGGGCTGCTTCCATAGTTTGGCTGTTGTAAATAATGCTGTAATAAACATAGGGGTGCGTGTATACCCTTGAATCAGTGTTTTTGTATTTTGGGGGTAAATACCCAGTAGTGAAATTGATTACTGGATCATAGGGTAGTTCTATTTTTAACTTTTTAAAAGAGAGATAAAAGAGAGAGTGATGAGGAAGAGGTAGGGGGAGGAGAGAGAAAGAGAGAATGAGAATCTTTAGCAGGCTCCATCCTCAGCACGGAGTTCTTCGCAGGGCTCGTTCCCATGACCCTGGGATCATGACCTGGGCGAAATCAAAAGTTGGACTGAGCCACCCAGGTGTCCCTAAGTCTATTCTTATTTTCCATAATTTTTTTCCTTTCATTTGTTCAGATTGATTACTTTTCATTACTCTGTCTTCTAGTTCATTAATTCATTTCTCTACTTTTTCCAGCCTATTTGTTTCATCAAGTGTATTTTTAGTTCGATTTACTGTGTTCTTTTTCTCTTATTGATTTTTTTTTATGTTTTCTGTCTCTTAAGGGTCTTACTGACATACATCACTGTTTTCTCAATTCTAGTGAGTATAGTTATGATCATTACTTAAAAATTCTTTATCGGGCATGTTATTTATCTCTGTTTCACTGAGGTCTCTTGCTGTGGTTTTTACCTGTTCTCTCATTTGTGACCTATTCTTCTATTTATTTTGCCTAACATTCTGTGTCTGTTTCTCTGCGTTAGGAAAGTCAGTTCTGCCTCTTGCTCTCCCAAGTAGTGGGTAGGTCATGCACTTGGGGGTACTGGTTCTCCTCCACAGGAGACATGCAACTGTGTGGACACAGGGCTGCCAGGGCTGCTCCACAAAGCACGGGTGGGTGGGTTGGGGGGGCACGGTGCCTATCCTCCTCCACAGGGGATGCATGGGCACTGCAGAAACCAGGGCCTGCTGAGGTTGCTCCACAAAGCATACAAGGATAGGTCATGCAGTTTTAACAAGGTGCTCATGTCTTTCTAGGAATGTTGGGAGGTGTAGTTTGGCAAAGTTCGTGTGGGTCATCTGGGTGCCGGGGTGGGGGTGTGGGTCTGCAACACCAGAGCTGAGGCAGCCTGGCTGGAGGGGGTGCGATATGAACAAGTTAGGTTGTGAATGCGTGTCCCACTGGTTCCCTTAGGTGGCTGTGTGTTGAATGTTGAGGGCAGAGGAGGGAAATGATGCCTGCTAGCTCCTTTCTTCCTGGGGAAGTCCCTGGGCAAAGTGAGATTAGTAACTAATTCTCCCTTGCATAAGCAAGTGCCTTTCCAAAATGATGCTTTCAAGTTGTGTCTTAATGGGCTTTTTGCTGTGCTGCTTCTTTAAGGGGAGGGGCTCAGCTTCCCATCACCCATGGAGGTCTCTCAGAGGCCAGCCTGCTGACTTTTAAAGTTCCAGGCTTTACATCCTGCTGGTTATAAGCACTCATGAAATTTTGGCCCTTATGATTTCCAAACAAAATGCTATGGGGATTCCTCTTCCCTGTGCAGGCTCCCCAGTATGATTGTCTGTTTCTCGCCCCTCTCTGCACCTGTGGCTCCCTCATTCTAGTGGTCAGACCCATGGGGTTTAGGTTCTCAAGTCCTCATGCTTCTTAAACTCTTCTATGAGACCTCTTACCTTCGTTGAGTTGTGGAGTTTGGCTAGTCCTTGGGTCTTTTTCTGGGTTGTTTGCTCTTATGAGAGCGTTATCTAAGTATATTCATGGGTCACGGTGAGTTTAGGGTCCTTGTATTCTGCCATTTTACCCAGAAGTCTGATGCTGATTCTTTAATCTGCTTCACCTGGGGTGATGTTGAACCCTTCTGTTGAATTTTTTCGTTCAATTATTGTATTTTTTCAGTTCTGTAATTTCTACTTGGTATCTTCTTTTTTTATATTTTATTTATTTTTGAGACAGAGAGACAGAGCACGAGAAGGGGAGGAGCAGAAAGACAGGGAGACACAGAATCTGAAGCAGGCTCCAGGCTCTGAGCTGTCAGCACAGAGTCTGATGCGGGCTCACAAGTGTGAGAGCATGACCTGAGCTGAAGTTGGAGGCTTAACTGACTGAGCCACCCAGGTGCCCCTGCTTGGTATCTTCTTATATTTTCTATCTCTTTTTTTTCTTTTCTCTATTCTCATTTTGCTCATGCATTGTTCTCCTGAACTCAGTGAGCATTTTTATAACTATTATTTTGAACTCTTTATCTCTGTTTCATCAATTTCTTTTACCAAGGATTTGCCATTTCTTTCATTTGGAAATATTCCTCATTTTCATTTTCCTTGACTCTCTGTGGCGGTTTTTATGTATTAGATAAAACAGTCACCTCTCCCAGTCTTGAAAAATTGGTCTCATGTGGGAGACAAACCTTATTGTTTAACCTGTCCCTAGCTCAAACATTTGTGATTGTCTAAGCAGCCTTCTTTTTTCTTAGTGGTTCTCAGGAGTTGAGGGTGTGCCAAGACCTGTCATTGTCCCAAAGTGGAGGATCTCTGTCTCTTGTAAGTTTTCAAAACTTGTTATGTGCTCTGCACCTGCGAGGACTGTATTTTAAAAGGGGCTCATACACTTTCCAGGGTCTGGCCATTCAGGAAGTGCTCTTTTAAGGATGCCCTTAGTCTCTCTTGTTGTGACTTTGGTTATTTTATTTCCCTGCTCATAGTGATATTTTGGACTCTCCACCATGTGTGCTTTGGTTTGTTCCTTGAAGTAGCCCAGTGTCTGCACTGTGTGTGTTCCCTTTTGTGTGGATCTATGGGCTTGAAGGAGAAAATACAGCAACATCTTGTTTAATAACAGCAAGACAACAGAGTATATTCTCTCAGAATTCTTCTTGGGTACATTTCCAGCAGAGGGTGAAGTCGCTCAGGCAGCTGCTGGCAGAGCGCAAGGAGCATCCCCTAAAGGGGAGGATCTCTATTAGCACCTAGATGCAGGCTGATTGGAAGCCAGCCTTTCAAGCAGAAACTTTTAAGTATACAGGTATACCTCTGTTAGGGGAATACTGGAAGATGGGTGTTTCTGTATGTTCTTTCTACACTGAGTCCTGAGGGGATAGCCAGTTAAGAACCATTTCTTTGTTTATTCCCATCCTGTTGATCCCATGAACACAGGCCCCCCTGACCACTAGGGCCAGGCTATTAAGGAATGTGTTCTCTGTCTGGGTGACAGCCACAAAAGCCAGGGTGCCAGACATGTGCACAGGCTCTGTTCTCAGAACACTGGTGACTTGGGACAGGGCAGAGGAAGAGGGCAAAGAGGTGCCTGCTTGTCTTCTGGTCTCTAGAGAGGATTGCAGTGGGTCTCATTACGTGTATTAAATTAGAAGCCTGCCCCTCAGGACACAGCTTTTAATATAAGCAAACAGGCCTCTTTCATTGAAAGACTGGGCAGTTGCATCTACTGCCTCTGTGCTGCACCATGGCGGCAGTGGGGTGTCCAATTAAGAACTCTTTCTCTAATTATTACAGTTCTGTGGGACCTATGAATGTAAGCTCTTCTTGGCCACCAGAGCAGGTGATCAATGAGTGTTGTCTATGCAGTAGCTGTAAAACTGGGGCATCAGACATGTACACAATCTCCTTTTCTAGGAGATACCTGTGACTTAGAGCAAGGCAGAGGGAGAAGGTGAAGATGGCGCCCACTGACTTCCACAGTCTCTGGAGAATATTTAAATTGGTCCCTAGATGTATTTTACGTTAGAATCCT